CAGCCCCGTCTTCGCCCTTTGCTAACGTCCAGCTATGAGCGCTTGTTGCCCTGTGGTGAAGTTTCAACTTCCAAACAGGGGTCCGGGGGCCCTAGTTTGTCTCCCCAGCCGGGACCCTGTCCACTTCCTCCTTGGTCCCGGATCTGGATGCCTTTCATTCCTTCACTTTCCGGAAGGCCCGCTCCCTCCCTCTGGAGCGAGACTAGTCTCTGCTCAGGTCCGCTTTTTCAAGAAGGATGTCCCACACCCTGCCTCAAAGATTCATCCAGGACCTGTCCACAGGACCTTACTTAAAAACAGGGTCTGTGTGGATGTCATCAAGTTAAGGATCTCCAGATGAGAACATTCTGGATTTAGGGTGGCCCTGAATCCAATGACAGGTGTCTCTTATAAGAGAAAGCAGAGGGAGACTTGAAACAGAGACACAGAGGAGGAGGCTGTGGGAAGACGGAGGCAGAGACTGGAGGGATGCGGCCCCAAGCCAAGGATGCCATGAATCACAGAAGCTGAAAGGGACAGGAAGGATCCTCCTGAGAACTTCTGACACCTGGAGGGAGCCCGGCCCCACCATCATCTTGATTTCAGACTTCCAGCCTTCAGAACTGTGAGAGAACACATTTTTGTTGTTTTAAGCCCACCAGTGGTGGTCATTGTTACAGGAGACTTCCCTCTCTCGTTAGCTTCTACCCCTCCCCCACTAACTGTGGCCCTGTCAAGGACAGAGATGGTGTCCCCAGGGCCTCACACACAGTAGGTGCTCAGTAAAGAGTCTGTAAGCAGGGCTCCACTGGAACAGGTGTGCCAGGTCTCCGAGCCCCACTCAGAACCCAAGTCTGCCTAGATTGGGATCAGACCTGGTTCGTGCTTGACTATGCAAAGAGGTCCCGGGGCTTCCCAGCCTCCTCCACCCAGGAACTAGCTTTCACCTCACCTCCCAGAGGGCAGTACATACCTCATGTACCTGTCTACCTCTTTACCTGTCTCATGCACCTGTGGCGCTTCTCCATCGCTGGGGGCTCAAACCCATTATCGTGATTGCTTCTCACTTATAATCATCTCTGGAGGATTCTTTTTTTTTAATTGAAGTATAGCCAGTTTACAATGTTGTGTCAATTTCTGGTG